TGGACCAGGCCACCATTTATTGCTCTCTGGCTTTACCGCTTAGTATCCTAAATTGTCTCTGAGGGGGAGCAGAAGTTGCCACTCTCAAATATGCCTTTTTTAAGATATTATTTTAAGCTGGTTATATTTAAGAAATGAAAGACTCAGGAAACACCTTTGACCTTCCTCCTAATTGCCTAAAAGAATTTAAATAGAGAATCTGCTCCACAAAGGAAGCTATCATCATAGATAACAATAGTTTAATATGAACTAAGGTGTGATAGACAGGGGGTAACCTAGCATAGCCCCTTTGATCTAAGTCCTTTCTGCATCTCATTGTTAAAGATGGCCCAGCAACCACTTATTTATCAAATATTTGCTTTTCCATTTCTATGTGAATTGCCTTCCTCCCCTTTGAAGTCCTCTGGAGGCCCCCCCTTCTCCCCATCCCCACCATTCTCCTTAGCTCAGAATGACAGCTAAGCCTTAACTGCCCTATTTGTCCTTGGGTCCCATATTCTTATGGAACCCCCCTATGTACATATGTAATAAATTTGATTTTCTCCTTTTAATCTGTCTCATGTCAATTTGATTATTATATCAGCTAGAAGAACTTAGATGGGTAGAAGGAAAATTATTTTTCCTCCTTCACATCTCCCAAATTTCTTATTCACCATATGGTCTCCAAACTTTAGCCAGAATGGGTGTCCAGTAGTTCTCAAGTTAGCCTGCATCAGAATCACCTGAGGATTGTTAAAACTCAGATACCTGTATCCCACCCCAAGTTTCTGATTCAGTAGGTCTGGAGCGGGGCCCAATCACTTGCATTTCTAACAAGTACCCAGATGTAGTAGGCATATTTCCTAGGGTATCATAAAAGGCACCACAAACTGGCTGGCTTAAACCAGCAGTTCCCAACCTTTTGGCACCAGGGACCAGTGCTTCTATGAGAATCTAATGCCTGATGATCTGAGGTGGAGCTGAGTCGGTGATAAGGTGGTGCTGGATGTGGCTGCAAATACAGATGAAACTCCTGCTCAACTGCCGCTCACCTCTTGCTGTGTGGTCCAGTTCCAAACAGACCACTGGTGCCAGTCTAGGGCCTGGGGGTTCGGAACCCTTGGCTTAAACAACAGAAATTGATTGTAGCACAGTTCTGGAGGCCTCATCTTAATTACATCTGCAATGACCCTATTTCCAAATGAAGACACGTTCTGGGGTGCAGAGCTGTTAGGACTGCAACATATCAATTTGGGGGTGGGTCACAGCTCAATTCATAACACGAATAACACCATGTGATACTGATGCTGCTTTACATCACTAATCTGATCATATTTTTCTCCTCTAATGCTTTTCAATGGCTCTCCATTGCTGTCAAGGTAAATCTAAGCTGATAGCTTGGTATTGAACGCCCATCAAAATCCGGTCCCTGCCATTTAGCCCCTTACCCTTTCACCACTGGAGCTCACACTGATTATGGTGCCTATCTTCTAGAATGCTCAAGCTACCCTACTTCTTTGGAGACTTCAGTGCTTGGCTCATGTGTCATTGAACATTCCGTTATCAGTGCTCATCACACATACCCACCCATCTCCTAAAATCTAGCTCAGGGTTTCACACAGTGCTTATAAAATTTTTGTTGAACGAATGTTTGAAGACAATTATTTTCAAGACTTTTTAAGTCAATTTTAATTTTTTTTTAAATTCAAGAGAAATTTTAACAGCGAGCCATTTACAAAAGTCATTATTTCTGGTTGAACCAGGTTTCTATATATAGTCTTGCCAATCTGGTTTCTGCCCCACCCCCGCGCCATGGCGGCCCTAGGCGGAGAAGGAAAACTAACCAGCTATTTTAAGATATTTCCGGAAACCAGGTTGGTGACCCAGCTTAATTTACATACCCACAATGCACTGCACATAAACTTTCCTACTTTAAAAAGGCTGGATTCCTCTTTTTGTCAACTTTTCCCCCCATAAAAATGAGAATGTTTTCACAGAATTGTCTGAACTAAAGATAGAAGTCACTAGCGCTTTTGAGGAACTAATGACCATTGATGAATTAGGAGGTACAGTTACCCGAGAACTGTGAGAGCAGAATCTTAAAGCATACTCTGGTTTCTCTTCAGATCGTATAAATCTTTCGCCTTTTACTTATTTCTGGTTGAACCAGGTTTCTATATATAGTCTTGCCAATCTGGTTTCTGCCCCACCCCCGCGCCATGGCGGCCCTAGGCGGAGAAGGAAAACTAACCAGCTATTTTAAGATATTTCCGGAAACCAGGTTGGTGACCCAGCTTAATTTACATACCCACAATGCACTGCACATAAACTTTCCTACTTTAAAAAGGCTGGATTCCTCTTTTTGTCAACTTTTCCCCCCATAAAAATGAGAATGTTTTCACAGAATTGTCTGAACTAAAGATAGAAGTCACTAGCGCTTTTGAGGAACTAATGACCATTGATGAATTAGGAGGTACAGTTACCCGAGAACTGTGAGAGCAGAATCTTAAAGCATACTCTGGTTTCTCTTCAGATCGTATAAATCTTTCGCCTTTTACTAAAGATTTCCGTGGAGAGGAACAATTCTGAGTTTTTACCCAATTTTTTGAGGCCTTGCTTCTTGCAGGGCTAACAAGAGTGTTCAAAAACAGAAAATGAGTTTGTCTTTTTGCAGAATCTCGAGGTCTGGCTCGTTCGTGCAAAGTTCTCTACGTACAGTTCTGTGATGTGACAGAGTGTTTCTTTATTTACTCTTTGAAAAGCAATTTTTTTTTTCCGGGAATGTCCGACTTTCTTAGCTGCAATTTTCTCTTTAATAAACTGGGTGGCTCTACTACAAAACTCCCCTTATCAAAATGTTCCCGCAGCACCGGTCACCGTGCTCCACGTATGTCTCTTACCCCTTGGACTCAGAAGCCAGCCCAGGGCCACCAACAAAGCCGATTTGTCGTCTGGATAAACGGATGAAGAATGGGTGGGTGCATAAGTCGCCTTACTGCTCCAAGATGCCGACTCGACTTCTCACCGTGGGCGGCATTACATCCCCGCCTTCTAAGTTGTCTTTAGAGAAATATTCATGTCTCTGGCGTGCTTTGGATTGTACTGCTCGTTCTCGCGGAATTCCATGTTCTCGTTGGAGAGGCGATGCTGACCCCCGATGGAGGAAGGAGGGATAAGCGCCTTCATCCAGGAGGACCCGGGAGGGAGGGGCCATCTCAGGAAGGCCTGCCAGCCAAAGCCTTACCCGCTAGCAGCCACATTGTTGTAAGAAGTACATTCACAGAGATGGTGGATACACTTCATTCGTTAGACTTCGAATTTATGCTTACACGTTCGAGGCTACTAAGCATTAACTTGAAGTACCTCCTGTGCCTAGCTCAGGGGCCTGGCACTGAGCAGTCGCCGAATAGATGTTTACTACCTATAGAATATCTAGTTAACCTGCTTTTGTTGAAAACTTGAATAAAACTTTTAAAGTTCAAGCTTGGCCCTATCCACATTTTTCTCAGGCAAGGCCTACCTCTCTGGGGCTCTGGCTCCAAGGGTTGCACTTGTGTGACTGCTTTTTAAAAAGCTTTAACAAAATTTAAATGTAATTGGTTGCTTTTTATGTGGCACATATTTATGTATTTTTTTCCTAAAGAGATAATTTAGCTTTAAAAGTAGAATTGGATCATGTTAAAAATAGAAAATTCTCAGGTTTATCTGATTTCAAATTTTTATGTGGATCAAGACAGCAAAGAATTGTTTGTTATATATTTAAACTTTAAAAATAAACATACTACGTGACAATCAGATGCAATACACAAACCTTAACTGGATTCTATATTTTTTTTAAAAAAGGAAAGAAAACAGAAGATACACTTTTAGGAAAATTATGGAAATTTTAGTATGTACTCATTTTAGATATTGAATTGATAATCATATTAGCTTTCTTGTTGCTCTTGCAACAACCACAAACTTAGTGACTTAAAACAACATAAATTTATTCTCTTACAGTCCTGGAGGTCAGAAAATCTAGATGTTGTGGGGGCTGCATTCTTTCTAGAAGGTTCAGGGGAAAGTCTGTTACTTTGCCTTTTCCACTTCTAGAAGCTGCCTGCATTCCTTTGCTCAGGACTCCTTCCTTGTATTACTCCAACCTTCTTCTGTGGTATCATCTCTTAGTACTAACTCAGGATCCTTTTGCCTCCCTCTTGTGAGGACCCTTGTGATTACACTGGGCCCACCAGGATAATCCAAGATAATCTGCCCATCTCAAGACCCTGAATTTAATTACACTTGCAAAGTCCCTTTCACCATGTAGGGTAACATATTCACAGGTTCCAGCGATTAGGATATAGATGTATTTGGAGGTCATTACTCAGACTACCACAATAAGGGTATTGTAATTATGTAGGAAAATGTCCTTATTTTTTGTAGAAACATAATATGAAGTATTGAGAGATGACGTCACGACAGCTAAAACTTTCAAATAACTTAGTAAACACAGAAAGTTAGAGATATTTGTTTTAGATTTTTCTTTTTAGGAGAGGCAACCCTTGGCTGACCTCACAGATTGCAAGGACCTTGTCAGTTTACAATACCTTATTTTTAAAAATTTTTTACACCTACAGCACCTGGTCTTCCTAGGTGGTCTCTCATCCAAGTACTAACCAGGCCTGACCCTTACCTTCTGAGATCAGACGGGATTGGGCTTGTTCAGGGTAGCACAGCTATAGCTGGTTTAGATTTTTGTATTATACTTAAGATTTCATTTTTTAAAGTTCCATGATTTTTATTAAACTATGATTACCTTAGGCCAGTGGTTTCCAGATTTTGGATTTTCCAGTTAAGATTTCCAAAAAATTTCTGGGGTACACTGACTATATTTTTTACTTTTGTTTTACAAAAGAAAGGCCACTTCAAGACTAAAAACAGAAAGACTTGACCCCAAAGGACAGGACGTTTCTTTAAAATGGGAAATCTATTTAGCTTTATGGAAGCATAACTATTTTTGTTGACTTTTCTCTCCACTCTCGGCCTAAATAGCAGAAAGCTGCTGCTCAAAATCATTTTGGGGAGGGGTTAGGGCCCCTAAGACTGACAACATCAGGGTGGGTGGCGCCCTCTTGTGGCACCATGAAGAATTACTGCCGTCCTACCATTTACTATGTTTTGAGGGACAACCCCTTCACAATACCTCTGTTATTTATTCATGTGTATCAGGCATTGTTTTCAGTGTTTGGGATATATCAGTAAAGAAAAAAAATCTCTCTCTCTTATCTATCTATCTATCTATCTATCTATCCATCCATCCATCATCCATCCTTGCCTAGTGGAGCTTACATTCAGATGCACAGACAGACAATAAATAAATAAATATATAAATAAGTGCTATGGGAAAAAATAGCAGCGTAAGGGAGTCTGGGGGACATAGTGTAAGAATTGGGAGTGGTAGTGTGGATTGCGACTTAAAAAAAAATAGCCCTCATTGAGAAGGTGACTGTGTAGAGTTGAAAGGAGGTGAGGGACTTAGTCGTGCAGTTTGATATCTGTGGTTAAGAGGTTCTAAGAACAGAACCTCTCTCACCGTTCAGCAGAAAAGTCAGCACAAAAGTCCTAAGGTAAGAGCTCCTTTATCAGTTAAGAAACACACAACAGTGTGTCTGGAGCCAGTGAAGGAGAAAGAGAAAAGCAGGAGACCAGTCAGAGGTAATGGGAGACAGAGCACCTAGGGCCTGATCTCGTTTGACCTCCCTCTGCCCTCCACACGTAGAGAACACATAAATAGCAAGACTTTATTGAATTCTTCCCAGCGGGCAGCTCTCCCTCTCCCCCACTGACGATCCTAACCCCCAGCCTCCCACCTAAGGCCAAGTGGAGTGGCCCTGAGACGGACTCAAGCTCCTTCTGCTGGGTTTTCTGCCACACAGCATTGACCTTCCTGGTTTGCCTCAGAGGCTCTGTTACTCCTTTTCTTCCATATCCTCCTGGGAGTGTGTGATGTTGTCCAGCTGCTCCAGATCAGAAAGGCCTAGGTAAAGCCTCCTGCCGCTAAGTGAAAGGCCACTGAAGTGTAATGCTGGAGACAGAGAGGTGAGCCTGAGACTGGGTGCTGGCTGTACCTCTGCTCCAGGTCCCCTCACTCCCCACTCACCTCTGGTAACGTTGACTTTGTTGGCTGCCAAGATGTCTGCCTGAATGCTATCTATTTTCATGTGCAAGTCCTCAGGGTTGCTCTGAGGACAGGAGCAAGGGAAACACAGCTGAGGTGCCCGGGGCAGTCTGGACTTGGAGCTGGGCTTGAGCAGAGGGATATTGCAGGAGGGAGGGAGCAGGCAAGGGAAAGGAAAGATGCCGGAGGAGGGGAAGACCCCAAGCCCAGACAGACCCTCTTGCACCGGGCCACCAGGCCCAATCTTTGTGGGGGGTGTAGCAGGGGAGGGATGGTGTGGAGGAGGCACCATTCCTTCCCCGCCAGGGCGGATTGGGAACACTTACAAGGAAGAGCTCGTAGAGTTTCTCCCCCAAGGACTTGCGCACATGCTCCTCCACCAGCGGGAATAGCTGCACGAAGTACTGCAGTGGGGCAGGGGGCGGGTGGGCTGCGTGCCTGTGGTGACCACGCCTGGTGCCCACCGCCCCACCGCCTGCTGCCTGCTCACCTCCAGCGTGAGGCTGGCCTGCCGCTGGCTGTTGCTGTGGTCCGTGTTGCCCATGGCGGCCATCAGGCCGTGCACCACGCGCAGGTGCAGCATCTCCTCTGCGAGGCTTGTGTTGCTGCGCGCCAGGACCCTGGGCCGGGGATTCGGGCTGTGGTGATTACTGGGACTCTCCGGCGCCAGCCCGAGCCCTCCCGGGTCTACTGGCTGCATCTACCCACTACCCGCTGCCCGCTTACCCGATGGCCTTGGCGGCCGCGGCCTGCTGCAGAAACACCGGCAGGTTGGCAGTATGCTGGAGGACCGTGGAGTCTGGCGAAGGGGCGGCTGTGAGGCAGGGGTCCCTCCCCGCGCCGGGTGCCCTCCGCCCTAATCCCAGCAGATCCCTACCGTTGAGGATCTTGGGTTGCAGTTTATTGGTCTTGACGGACGGTATCAGCAGGTGCACGAGGCCCTGGAGCAGCGCTATGCACACTTCGTAGTTGACCAGGTCCTTGATCAGCTCGATGGCTTGGGAAGGGCAGAGACGATGGAGAAGCCTGTCACTCCAACACTCCCCACCCCCACCAAGGAAGCAAAGAGCCCTTTGAACCAAATAACTTCCCTTTACCCTCACCCTCTTCATGGACCTTTCCTGACCTTTAATTGGCCAGCACTGAGCAAGGGGTGTGGGGGCAGCTAGGCAGGCAGCACCTCAGTTCCTGCCTTCTTAGAGCTGTGGTTACAAAGGAAGAGGAGGAGCGGGGCATCCAGCCGCCCCCACGACCCAACCAGCCATAGCTAGAGGAGGAAGGGTTGAGTAGCGAGCCCACCCATCAAGGAGGCTTAGCAACTGTCAGAGCTGGAGGTCCCACCTCTGCAGGGCCATCTTCAGCTTTGAGGAATCCAGAAAGATTCCTGGAGGGAAGGGCTGGGTCTTCAAAGGGAGACAAGGATGGGGAAAGACAAGGAGTAAGAGGGAGAGAGAGTAAATAGGTGGGAGAATGTCCGGCAGAAAATGAGAAAGGGGTAGAAAGAAGGTGGACAGCAGTTTCGAGTAGCTTTAGTTTCTGATGAACCATCATTATTGGGCCCTTCTTTGCCTCGGCTCTGTGCTAAGGGCTTTCCATACAGTACCCCACTGAAGCTCACCATAACTACATGAGGTTGGCTTTGCAATAACACTATGCCTGTTATCCCCATTTTACAGCTGAGGGAATGAGGCTCAGAGAGGTAAAGCACTTTATTTAAGGTACCACAGCTTAGAAGTGGTGGAAGCAAAAGGAAGGAAAGATTTGGTTAGGAAGGAGGAGGGAATTGGAATCTATTGAAGGGATTTTTTTGTAGATATTTTCCACTCATTTCTTCCTTCCAGCATTCACTCAGCCTATTGGCCAATCTGCACAGAATGCCTATTGTGCCAGGCACATGGTATGGTGACAAGTGCTATAAAAGGGGTCAGTAGGCTGTAGAAGTGCCTGGGAAGATAGGGAGGACTGCATATTTTTGTGAAGAGAGAGGAACCAAAGAGAGGCAGAGCTAGAAAGGGGCAGGGTGAGATGGTAATGTGCCGGTATACCATGGTCCGCCCAGAGTAAATGTTATTCTAAACACGTGTGCTTGCTGCATGGTGGACAGGACTTAGAAATGTGCTGTCCTCAGCACAGGAGCCAAGTGGGGCCTATTTCTCCACTTACTCCTGGGGAAACAGGACTTAGGAAAAAGTTCTTGGTTCCCTGACTAGCTTATTTGCATAAGACGAATTGCTGCATTAACAGTATTATGTTTGCATAACCAAAATTAATCTTTTATTCCCTTGTCAGGAGATTTTATCCAGTAAGACTATGTTTGGGATAATTCTCTACAATGGGAGAAAAGCTTTCATTGGCAGGTGCAAGTGTTGGGGGACAGGCCAGTATGTGGGAAGATGGGCATGACAGGAAAACATACTCTTGTTTCTTTTCAGAATGGTAAAAGTTTTTTACTTTTTACTAAAGATTTCCATGGAGAGAAATCTTGGAGAATTGGAGAATTATTTGAGAACTTGCTTGGGTAAAACTCAATATTCAGTTTGCCAAAGACAGATATCTGATTTGTTGAAATGCAAGTAAGTCCTTAAGTAGGGAATACAGCCAATTTGTTCCTTTAAAAAGTAGTCTGGTAGGCCCTTTTTTTGTCCCTCAGTTTTTAAGGTTTTTAAGTGAAAGGTCTAGGGTATATACTCTGTAAGTTTAAATGTGAACTCTTGTCTCTCTGTTACCCAGGCAGAATTGGACCACTGGGTCTCTGAAAACTTGAGGTTTTCAGTCTGTAGTTTTCCAGGGCTGTGACATGGACCATCTTTTTCTAATAATGGTTGAGAACTGGGCGACCTTATCTTCCACCCCAGCTACAAGGGGGACCCTAGTAGGTCAGGTCCCATTGCCACCTGGGCTCCTAGCGCCCCAAAGCTAACAGCGCACCCGGGTGCACAGCTGGAAGCCGTGAGCCTCATTAGAGCAGCGGGGAGTGCGTCAGGTGCACCGCTGGAATATCAGGAGTCCAGTTTTGAACATGGTCAGTGACATCCAGGGGGAGATGTTGGGAAGGCAAATGGAAATAAGGGTATGGAGCTCAGGAGAGAGGTCTGAGCTGTAGAAAGGTCACCCAACCACTGTGCCCATCATCCACAAAACACGACTAATAATACTGACTATTTCATCAGTTTCTTGTAAGGATTACATGAGTAAAGAGCTAGAGTGGTACTTAGCATATAGTAAATACTTTATAAAGGTTAACCATTATCGTTTCTATCATTATAGGTGGTGATTAAAACCATGGGAGTGGATGAGATACCACAGAAAGAAAAGAGATGAGAAGAGGACCTGGGATTGAATCTTGAGAGAAAAAGAAACCAACGTCTGAGGGACTGATGAAAGAAGAGAAATGTACGAAGGACCGAGAAGTCTGGTAGGCCCTAATCAGAGGAAGCCAGGGAAATCAGAGGAAGCCAGGGGTCTGGGAAGGAAGAGATCGGAGTATTCAGGGGGGAAGGTATGATCAGGAGGCTTTGAGTGGTTGAGAGTTCACATCCAGTGAGGCCAAGAAACAGCTCTGCAGGGCCCACGTTCATTCATTTGGCAAGTATCGACTGAGTACATGTCAGGTACAGTACCCGTGCTGACCGAACAGAATGGCAAGCAGAACAGATGCAAGGAGTGGGCCACTGACACTCAGTGGAAACTTTAGTGCAAAAGGAAAGATTCCTCCGATCCAAAGAGGAACCATAGACCCCCCACTTCTAGGCAAGGTGATCACCTGTCTGATAGATGAAGAAACCCAGAACAAATGATTTGCCCAGGGAATCAGAGTGAAGAGGAGACTGGGCTGCAGCAGGCAGCTTGGTATTCCCTTGGCAGAAGGAGCCTTAGAAATGGGTTTGCACTTGGGAACTGTGGTTGTGCCATGCAACTATTTCCAAGGCACTCAGCACTGATGAGGTTTGTTTTACAATTCTCCTAGAGCCTTGGAAAACCGGAGTCCCAGATCTTTCTCTTCACTTCCACACACGACTGCCATCTGCTGGCCACAGATGAGAAGTGTGCTTCAGTGCTTGCATAGGTTTGCTTCCTTTTCCAATGAGGTAAGAATATACGTTTGGCAAGTTGCGCTGTTGTAAGGAAGAAACCTGTGTCAGGTATCTTCCAGACCAATTGCATTCTGTTTCTGATTCCGGTACATTTTGCCACCTCTTTTAACACATTCTATCCAAAGCCCAATGTCAAAACATTACAAAGATATTTTATGTGCTATTTCATTTTAAAAAAGCCAGGCAACAAAGTTAATTAATGTTATGTGCTCTGGTGGGTATATGAATTGCTGAATCAAGAATTACTGTTGTGTGTCTTCCACTGGTATCTGCTCTTCTGGGCAAGTCTCACCAAGTCCAACCAGCCTGCTCACTGGCACTTTGACCTGCTCCTGACATCTGAGCTGAGCACTGCCATGCCAGGGGGACAAGGAGAGAGAGTACCAGGCCAGGGAAGAAGACACAGAGGTTTTGAAGTCCAGGCAAATGAAGAAATTAGAAACAAGTTTTCCTGAGGGCTTTCTATTAAAAACAAAAAACTCTGGAACACTGTATAATGAAAATTATAAATGCTAAGCTGTCCAGTTGAAGCACTCACATAATTTTGGGGAAATAACATACCTTTTAAGTGTATTCAGCAGATTTTTACGTGGAATCACCCGTTAGTGTCAGAGCCTTGTGACTGTTGTTCAATGAAGTTACACAGGACAGGTAGCCTCTTACCCAGCAGAAAAAGCCGAAACAACTGCTGTGTGAGCTCAGAGGAGGAGAGCAAAGGCACAGGGTTCTGTGGGGCAAAAGCTGTAGTTCTAAAAATGAGACCTTGTGGTGTTCGCTTGACCCAGTGAAGGGCATGGAGCTGAGAAAACATGATTTAAAAACTACATTTTATTGTAATAATAATGGCGTTGCCTATCCTCAGGTTTTGTCTGCTTCTCAAAACTGGTGAAAGAAAAATGTCTTGTTCTCATAATGCTGGAGAGACAGGATAGTGTGGCGATAAGGAGGTGGGTGCAGGAGCCAGACTGCCTGGGTGTGAGTCTCATCTTTGAGACTTCGGACAGGCTATTTAATTGTTCTGTACCTCAGTTTCCTCATCTGTAAACTAGGGGTGATAATAGTACCTACTTCTCAGAGTTGTTCTGAGGATTACATGAGATGATTAAAGAGCTTAGAACAGTGCCTGTCACATAGCCACCATCAGTCACTTGCAGCGATTACCAGTTATTATTACTATTATTATTACTACTGTAACAAGCTCTAGGAGTGCAGGGAGTTTGTTTCATTTGTTACTACATGCTCAGTGCCCAGCCCAGTGCCCACTCTTGTTGAATAAGTAAGTGAATGAATGAAAAACTTAAATAATTTAAAAGTAAATCAGTAAAGGACATTATTAAGAAAGTGAAAAGACAACGTACAGAATGGAAGAAACCATTCTAGAATTCAGAATATATATAAAGAACTCTTACAACTTAAGAGCAAAAAGACAAAGAACACAATATTTTGAGTGGACATAGGACTTGAATAGACATTTTTCCAAGGAAGAAATATAAATGGCCAACACACACATGAAAAGATGCTCAACACCTTTAGCCATTAGGGAAATGCAAATCAAAACCACAATGCGGTACCACCACACCACATCCATGACGGTGGTTGTATATATTTAAAAAAGGACAATTACAAGTGTTGACAAGGATGTGGGGACATTGGAACCCTCATACCTTGCGGGTGGGAATGGTTCAGTTGTTACTGAAAATAGTTTGATGATTCCTCAAAAGGTTAAATAGAATTACCATATGACCTGACAATTCCACTCTTAGGTATATACCCGAAAGAATTGAAGACGGGCACTCAAACAAATACATATGTACATGCATATTCATAGCAGCAGTGTTCACAATAGTCAAAAGGCAGAAATAGCCCAAATGTCCATCAGTGGATGAATGGATAGACAAATTACGATATGAACATACAACACAATATTATTTAGCCATAAAAAAGGATGAAGTATTGATATATGCTACCACATAGATGAACCTCAAAAGCATTATGCTGAGTGAAAGAAGCCAGATGCAAAAGGTCACATACGGTATGATTCCATTCATATGAAATACCCAGAATAGTTAAATCTATAGAGACAGAATAAAGGTTAGTGGTTTCAAGGGGCTGAAAAGAGAAGATGGAGAACAAATGCTTCATGGTACAGAGCTTCCTTTTGGGGTAATGAAAATGTGTTAGAACTAGAGGTAGTGGTAACATAACATTGTGAATGTACACTAAGTGCCACTGAACTATTCATTTTAAAATGGTTAATTTTATATTATGTGAATTTTACCTCAATTTAAAAAATGCTTTTATGAAGAAAAAAGCAAACCAAATATAGAATTAATTTTTAAATAAATCCCGCTTGGTGTGAAGAATCTATGTAATGCCACAAAACCAAGAACCTCAGAAAAATTAACAGTGACATTCTTGCCCAACACCGGAGGGCAAGAGAAGAGATGTCGCTCATTCAAAGACTTGTCCATGTCTGTCTTGTTTGGTTCCTTAGGACCACTGTCTCCCTGCACTAATGTCTCTAGAGAATTCCACTACATGAGTGCAGGGCAGTTTGCTCAGCCTGGCTGTTGTGCTGGCATCTGATAAGCCACACTTTGAACATTACTATATGAAACGATGATTTTATTAGTAAGTTAAGTTACTCCTAGGTTCTAGGTCAATTAGACAAAAATTTTATTCTCCAAATTACCATTTTTCCAAGTTCACAAATGTTTCCGTTTTACCATTAACCGGTTTCTTACAACTATTTGTTAATTTTTAAGCAATTTTCATTAGATGGTGTTGGTTTTGAAATACGTCCACAAAGTTTTTAGTATGTTTTCTTTCAAGAGCTGGAGCCCAGTTCTCCTCCCCTTGAATGTGGGCTGGACTTAGTGACTGGTTTCTAATGAACAGCGTGCAACTTCTGAGATTAGATTATAAAAGATATTGGGGCTTCCTCTGCTTTCTCTTGGATCACTTGCTCTGGGAGAAGCTGGCTGCCAAGTTGTGAGGACACTCACATAGCCCTACAGGGAGGTCCACGTGGTGAAGCACAGGCTTTCTGTCAACGACCAGCACTAACTTGCCAGCTGTGTGAGGGAGCCACGCTGGAAGCAGGTGCTCAGATGACTGCAACCCCAGCTGACCCCGTGACTGCAAACTCAGGAGACACCCTGAGCCAGAAGCAGTTAAGCTGCTCCCAGATTCCTGATCAACAAAAACTGTGTGAGATAATAAATGTGGGTTTTATTTTTTATTTTTTTTAATTTTTTGCCATTAAGGTTTGGGGTAATTTGTTATATAGTTATAGGTAACAAATATAGATGGATTGATTTAACAGCTTTTGTAGATTTCTGCAAAGTCTGAATACAATGGCTTTCATTTTGTCTCCATAACAGCCTTTTAAAGAACCTTCATTGGTCTCTGCCCAAGCTCTCTGTAGATGCAGGGGCAAGGAGTGGGGGTGGGGAGGAGAACCTGGCGAACGAACCTGCTGCAGTCACCATACCACATGGCCTAGACTGCCCATCCTTGAGAACAAGGGATAGGGAGGGTGGGGCAGAGAAAGGGAGACCAAGAGCCAGAGGCGACCAAGGGCAGAAAGAAGGTATTGAGGGACAGAGAGTCTGAGGTCCCTGAGAACTTGAAGTTCAGGCTTCTCCGAGCTCTCTTAGGCCCTACCTATATAACCAACAGGAACTGCTATTACCTTCAGATATTTACAGGCAACATGTTTTCAGTAAATTGGTAATCTGGCGAATTAGGCACTCAGTAAATTAGTCATTTGGCCGATTGATTTTTGGCAAGCGTACATTCGGCAAATTAATTTACAATAATTGGTCTGTTTCTGATTAAGTCAAACAGTAATTTTTATGTTCCTAAAGTAATAATTTATTTGTAAAAGACACTAATATATTTATATATACATATATATTTCAAATTCCCAACAGAATTCATTAATTTGTCCTTCCAAAAAACTTTCAATGACTTTGAAATTTCTCTTCTCTAGGGAGGGAGACCAGAGAGTGAATATTTCTGTGGCTTTAGACAACTTGTCATAATTAAGTCCCTGCGTGCCTCTAATTCCTGGAATAGCAAGCCTCCCTGGGAGGAAATTGCCATTTTTCACTTCACAGCAATTATAAATGGAGATAAATTCCAGGCAGGCCCACTTTGGAGAACTCTTCCTTTAATTTTAATTTTGGCTCTCTTAGGTTATGTGGGATCATTATTAAAAGAAATTCTAAAATCTCAATTCTATGAAAACAAATACCCTCTCAGAAATTAGCATGTACAAGCGTCAGTACCCTTTCCCTGGGTACTTTATTTCTACTTCCAAGTGTAAAATAGACAAAATGGATCATCAGAATCTCTTGCAGTGGGGACTAGAAAGCCATTACTTGGTGCACTGTTTTCCTCCTCCACTTTTTTAAAGAACCTGGAAGGGTAGGATTTTCCCAGGACATTTAACACAGTGCTCCCTGACCCACCCCTTCTTCAGGGGCACCAGCACAGGTGTGAGGGAGGTGTAATTTTATGAAACCCAGCTCTGGCAGACAACCATATTTCAGGAATCTGCATTAAAATGTTGAGAAATGGAAGAAAAAAGAAGAAAGGGAAGCTTATCTTACTTGGATAGATATAGAGCTATCACCACATACATCCTCCCAGCTTCCACTTGTCTCACTATTTTAAAACTTGGCCACAAAATTTTTTGACCCTCCTCCCACTGAGATGTGGAGTCTAAATGCTTCCCATAAATCTGGGCAGGAAGCCATGATGTGTGATTTAGGAGACTAGGTCAAAAATGCCACACAGCTTAAGTCTGGAATGTCTTGGAAGCTCGCTCTTGGCTGCCCCCTTTTGGAATCCAGCCACCAAGCTGAGAAGCCTAAGCTACATGGAGAGGCCACATGTAGGTGCTTCCATGTACCGTCCCAGCTCTGAGTCCCACCTTCAAGCCCCCAAATGATTCCAGCCCCCTCGTGTTACTCAAGACTGAGACTCAGGTGAGGCAAGTGAGGCTTTTG